ATGTTAGGCTACTAAAACAAGCCCTAAGACTATACCACTACCTAACCCGATTCTTCTACAAAAATTGCCAAACTTAGCTTCGTCCAAGCATTTTTCGACTTAGAAAATTCGACTACGTTTTTATCGGTTTCGCGTCGAATTCGATTTCTAAGCTATTAAGTATGCTAGCTAGTGAATCCCGTTCTCGACTATAAGTATTTCACCGCCACCTATGAATCTTACACTACAAACTTTATTAAAGGGCCGGGTATGCATTCTTTAGCATTTTCGTTCATTAAAAATTCGTTTAAAACCTTAAGCGATATAACACAACATGAAATATAACATTCGTTTCGCGTTTCCGATGAACGTTTCGAGTCACAGGAATTGATTTACTCACTATAATTCATACACTATCACATTAACATGATGCACATGTAGTGTTTTAGCAAAAGATTTACAGTGTAACACTGAGAGCGTTACACCAGCGGCCCCGTGTTTGCCTGGCCGCAGACGGCAGCCCGCAGGTCCGCGCAGTTCCGGTGGCCGCGTGGGCAGGCGCACCACCTGTTTATATTGCAACCCTTACAACAACACCCTTAAAGAAAAGGAAAATTACATTTTGGTCCATACAAGGGTCTCCCGGTCGTCTTTGTCGCCAGCGATTGGAGCAGCCCCTCGACGAGCACCCACCACACCACAAGTTGGAGTGGAAACACACCAAGGTTGCAGCTTGAAGCCAAAGCCCTTCTTGATGAAACATCAAAGTTTTCCATTGCCACAACGAGTAGCATGTCAAAAACATCAACATGCCATAGATACGTTGAACGCCCTAGCAGTAAAAGATGACCACCCGCCATCTCGTCGCCGAGAAACATTGGACTTGTCACCGCAAGCATCGCCGGCAACCCCAAGTCATCGGACGACAAAGCTACCGAAAAGGGAAAAAGACCGCCCAAGCAGTTGCAAGTATACCACCAACCCGATTCCTCAGAATATTGGTAGGCAGACCTCCCTAGAGCCTCGCCAGAGACGGCATCGTCACCGGTGCCAGCCCCAAAGAAGACGAGGGAGGGACAAAAGAACTCACCGACGAGATCTAGATCTTCAAATGAACCACTGGATACGGTGAGGATGCAGCAAACCAGCCCATCACCACTGCGGAAACACACATCAACGAGGTGGAGAAGGGGCCGAAGAAGCTTATTCGCTAAAGACGGTGCCGTCACAACCATCCGTACACCGCCAAGGCCTAGGTTACCTAGATTAGGGACTAGAACTAGCTAAATAGGTAGTAATCTACACTCCAGTCACCGTAGGATCGTCTCCCCTCCCCCTCCAGCGCCGAGAAGGACACCAGAGGCGAAAGGGAACCGACGGATTCGGCTGCGGAGGCGAAGTCGCCTTCTTTTCGCCCGCTCTGACTGTAGCAGATGGGAGAAGGAATGAGAAGCTACATATGAGGCACGACGCGCTACGGGCCTTAACTAGTTGAGTCATACTAGTTGGGCCACTGATCGAGCCCTGGTGACATACGGTGAGCCTTTCAGTGCATCTTCGTCTCCTGTCCTGCATGTACCTCTGTGTTTCCGGTGGCCTAGGAGAGCAGCAGCACGCTGCAGCGCGTGCAGGGCAAAGGTTGTTAGTCCACTGGAGACATAGGGAGCGTGAACTGGAAGAGGAAGACTGTTGACCGGTGGAGTGGAGTGTGGAGAGCAGAGACGGCACTCGCTGGCTCCCTCCCTGCGTTCTCACGAACAAGCTCTGATCGGATGGATCACTTTAAACACGTACGTACATGTTTTTAATCATTACTAAGTACTTAGAGAGTGTTTGGTTCAGCTAGGAGCTCATAAATCTAGTCCCATTTAGTCACTTTTTATCCAAACACTATGACTGTCAGGTTCATAAACCCGAGGTCCCTTAGGGACCGGCTTCCCAACAAAGGCTCGGCCCAACGGACAACGTTGCGAGCAACGCGCAACTCATAGGCCGGCCAAAATACCTAGACGATAGGCTAGAAGGACGATCCAATCTCCGACCGGAAGGCCTGGCCGAGGAGGAACGGCGTTCGCTTTCGACTCCGGCCCGCCTCTTTGGCTGGAGCTCTCGCTTCGGTCTCCAGCCTGCCTCCGGACGGCCTCTTTGACCGGAAGGCCTGGCCAAAGCACTACTTTAGACTTCGACCCGCGTCTCCGACTACGGATGCACCAAACCCCTGCTCACTGCTCTTCTTCCACTGGCGCATTCAGAGTAGACTGGGACTAACCGTCCGGGGACGCCCGCTCGGTAAGGACCAGGGAACGAACGAAGAAAGTAGAGCAGGACGCACAAGTCAAACCGCAATAATAGGGATCGTACCCTGTGTACCTACCAGGCAGTACCCTGCGACCCTCCTAACACGACAGAACTCAAGCAGTGTTGTAGGCGCCGACATTTTTCCCTACAGTGTTGTAGGTGCCATTAACTCCCATACCAGACAAAGTACGGTAAGGCTCTCCCCACATGCTTCTGGGTATCAACAGTGTTTTGGGCGCCGGCATTTACCGTACCAGGCGAACATGGTAAAACCCATCGCATGCCTCCGGGTATCAATAGTGTGGCAGACGCTGACGTCTGCCATGCCCAAAGAAGACAACCTTCCACGTGCATCTGACATTCAACAGTATTGTAGACACCTGCCATCATTCTGTACCCGCCAGCGTGGGCAACAAGACTTAGTAGCATACGTATTATCTCCCTCTCATTTGTAAGACCATTCCCTTCATCTATAAAAGGGGATGCGCTCTCTCCCAATTATGAGATTAAATCAGATCAATCAAGTTCGGATAGCACATTGCGGAGCTCCCGTCACTCTCAGCCTCTCTGACCAGAGACCGACCGGACCTCTCGTACCCCCCATCTTTCTCCTTCTCGTTTGTAACCCCACTGCAAACTTCGAGCACCTGGGCTCAGGAATAAAGTCACCGACCGACTCAAACTGGACGTAGGGCACGTTGCTTGAACCAGTATAAATCATGTGTTTTTGTGTTGGTCACTTTCTGCACCGACAATGATTAAATATGACTAAAAGGGCTTTAGTCATCTCTAACAACTCAGGAGTGACTAAATAAGACTAAATCATTTAGAAGGGACTAAAGTTTAGCGGCCCAAACCAAACACCCGTTACAACTGCTGCCACACCATCACCAGTTTATCTGAAACTGCACCCACGTACTGTACACATAGGTACAGTTGCTACGTACGTACGCGAGCGTGTCAGGCCGAGCTGCTACGCGCAGCGCCGCTGACTTGACGATGTAGTACGGTACTGGTGCAGGGAGTGAGCCAATAGTACAATGCAGGCTGACTGGCTGAGGCTGCGCTAGCTCCTCTTGGACCGAGCGAGGAATCCGGCCCGGCGGCATGCGTACAAACAGATGAGGCTAGCTGCTTCTGCTTCTCAGTTCTCGGGCGTCGTCGTCGGTTTGCGTGCTCATAACTTGCGTTGGACGCGCATGCACGGGAGAGCAGTGTCCCGCCGCAGCTGGGGATCTGGGCTGGGTAGCCCCGCGGCGCGCGCAGGAGCAGGACGCACAGCCACGCGCGCGTACGAACATGCGTTACACGGGATCGACGCGGCCGGCCAGCGCATCCGCGATTCACTACTTCAGTCATGGCTCATGAGCCAAGTAAATAGAGCAATTGTTACGTTTGCTAATAACAATTGTGATCAAGAAGAATTAGTTACGTGTACGTACGTTTACAGCGTCCGCTGTTAATTACTAGCTTCTCTCCGAGACGAGGAGGATTTCTCCACTAGTTAAATAAATTAACTGCTGCCGTAGGGTGTACGGATGCTGGGCTGCTGGTTCAGTGGTTATCTGTGTTCCACTCTGTTTTGGCGATAGATCAGTCGGCATACTATGAATGAATGAGTTGGCATGCAGGTCAAATGGAGGGCTACAACTCAGGTCAAATGGAGGGCTACAACTCTGGTTAGACTGTCTTTAATAGGTGACTTATATGAACATCTAAATCTAAAATAGATAGTAGGAGATCTCAAATGGAGGGCTACAACTCCGGGTTAGACTGTCTTTAATAGGTGACTCATACGGAGACTCATAAAATAGTTATAGGAGATTCAAAGAAGACTTAACCCAGAAAGATATCTGAGAACTATCCTTTATGAGAGGGAAACCCCATTGTATCCTCTCTCTTGGAAACCCATTCACAGAAAAGATTATCTTTTGTGTCTTGTTGTTGAAGAAGATGTCGAATGAATATTGAACCCTTTATTTGTAGCACTATCAAATATTGAATGCGAGTCTTGTATTTTGGATGTCGTTGCTGGAGATAGTCTTAGCTGTTCAGTTTTGCAGAGAGAGATAAGACAAACTACACTACCTGCCTTAAGTGAGCGTGCATATGCTGAGTCGTCTTCACTCGACCCGGTGACGTCTACGCCACCCACCACCTACCGTCCTCGTTTAATACCTTATCTTGCTCGCCGGTCTCCAATTACAACTCGTATAGTTTGTCGATGCTCACTCCAACTACAAGGAGCAGGATCGGAGTACACTTTTCCATTTTAAATTCCCTTTCTTAGCTTTTTTTTTCAACTCCCTTTCGATTGCAGTCACACATACAAACACGCATAACGTATTAACGTGGGAAAACGGTGCAATAATCACATGGTCACACACCCAACTGGCCAAGAGAGCAGAGGAGAACCAACCAGCTGAGACGCAATTAACAAACTTGTGCAGGAAAAACGTATTAATTACATTAGACCCAGACATTTCTCACATAAGTCCTCAACTTTAGCCCCACCACAGCAAAGCACAGAAAAACTACAGTACAGCTAGCAACAACCAACGACGTCTTATTAATTAACACGGCCATTTCGCTCCAACCCCCTCGACTTCCCCTAAATTACGTAACGTAACGTACCCGTGTATCTACAGAGACCACCACCAGCAGCAAGTGACGACGGACGCACGCGGCACGCGCGCTCGGGCTCCGGCGACGCCGCCAGTCGCCTAGCTGCAGAGCGCGCCGACCTCCCGGAGCCGCGGGACGAGGAGGCCGCTGAGGTGGAGGCCCATGAGTCCGTCCAGCCCGCCGACGGGCGCGCCGCCCACGAACAGCGCGGGGACGGCGGCGGCGGCGGCGGCCGACGCCGCGGCCTCGTCGGCGGCCTCCTCCAGCTCGATCACCGTCGCGTGCGCGCCCACGGCCTGCAGCAGCTGCCGCATCACGTGGCACATGCAGCACCCGCGCCGGGCGAAGATCACCACGGGGCTCTCGCGGACCAGCCGCCCGATCCGCTCCGCGGGGGCCTCCCCGTCGTCGCCGCCCGCCGGGTCGATGGTCAGGCCCAGACGCCCGCCGGCGCCCACGCGGTGGTGGTGCGGCGCGCGGCCGGGCGTCGGCGCCTCACCGGCCACCGCGCAGCTCACGCCGCCGCCTCCCTGCATGTGGTGGAGATCGATGATGGATGGGCTGGGATTGCAGGGGGCGGGCGTGTGCCGGGGTGTGTGTGGTTAGCGCGCTAGCTGCGGCTACGACGACGGACAACTAGTTCACGGCGTGAACCCTTGATGAGTGTCTGGTAGGGTGGTCGCCGTCAAGATCCGGGCCGGAGGACGTGGGGGAGGCCCGTATATATAGGACCCCGCGCACATGGGGGAGTGACGTCACGCGGAAGGCGACGGGCAACGGTGGGGCCCAGATGGCGTCACGTGGCTGAAGTCCAAGAAGCAAAGTGGAGGGGTGCTGAGCAATCTTCAAGGGACAAATCGCAATTCCCCAAAATCGTTGAAGAAAGGCATTTGAGCTATCTAGACGGTTAATAATAATTTAGATTGTTCTGTCTTCTCTCGATAAAAATAAATGTTACTGTGTTAGTCTCATAGATACATGGGTGAAATTGTGGTCATAAGGGCATGTGCAACTCTTGTCTTACTAAACTTGCTAGCTCCTCTATGGCCTTCCGCAGTGTTGAGTGAAGCTAGAAATTAAACCGGGTCCCACCATAGATTTTTGACATCGCTCGCGTTGAGCTGCAGTGGTGAGCATCGCTTCTAAGCTCTTGTTTAGTTCGGGAAATTTGGATTTTAGAGTTACTGTAGCATCTTCGTTTTTATTTGGTAAATATTGTTCAAACATGGACTAATTAGGCTCAAAACGTTCGTCTCGCAATTTCCCACCAAACTGTGCAATTAGTTTTTCTTTTCGTCTACATTTAATGCTCCATACACGAGCCGCAAACATTCGATGTGACAAGTACTGTAGTAACTATTTGAAATTTGGGTGGAACTAAATAAGGGTAACACCCAATATGCAAGCAGTACCGGCTTCGATGTGAGCAGAGATCCAGAGACACGAAAGCAGCTAGTACTTGCAGCAAACAAATATATATTTTTTATTGAGTGAGCACCGGTTCATGAACATGCGCCGCTCCCAAAACTTATAGTGCAGGCATCGCATGTCAGTGTGTAGAGTGAAGCCCAAATGCGACTAACCCTTGTTTAGATTGTAAATTTTTGCAATCTGAATATCGTAGCACGTTTCATTTGCATTTGACAAACTTTGTCCGATTATGGACTAACTAGGTTCAAAAGATTCGTCTTGTGATTTACAATCAAACTGTGTAATTAGTTATTTTTTTACCTACATTTAATGTTCCATACATACGCCCAAAAATTGATGTGATAGAGAGAGAGTGAAAAAACTTGGAATTTAGAGATGATCTAAACGAGGCCTAAATGGAGAACTAGGCCACTGCATGCATGATAAGGCATTAAGGTAAGAAAAGCTAAAATAGGAGCAAGTACAGGTGTCAGAGAGAGAAGGAACTAAGAAAATAAAAACGACCCTCCCGGTAGATGTTAAGCTGCGAAAAAGAGAGAAAAGATGGTTCTGCTATGTGGTATGGGTATAGCGATTTTAATTGTTAGAGAGAAGCTAAACCGTTGCGTCAGTTTGTGCTATGCTGTAATATGTGTAGACATAGCGGTAAGAGAATTTCCTAAGATGCTTGTTGGGCGGTACATGCCCTAAGGACACCTATGTAACAAGATCCTAGTATGACAGTGTGTCGGAAGAAAAAAGGACGTCGTTAACATTTTGGTCCAAAACCTTTTATAAATAATGGAAAGTAGTACTCGATTTTATCCCCAATTTCCCATGAAGAGGAATCATACAACTTATTACAACTCAAGATCTCTAGGTAAATAAAGCTTTTATGACAAAAATAACTCAGACCCAATTCTAAAACAATGAAGGCCGCCATCCATAAGACGTAAAGAGTCTCATTGCCGTGGTCTCTAACGTTCGACAAGTGCCCACCATAAGCGCTCGTCGATCCTCACACCATTGCAATTGGACCCAGAACCAAGGTCAGTGGTCCCTCTGAATAGAACATGATCTAGTTAACATCATTTAAACCTAAAAGTTCATTTTGGGACAAAAACCTAAATGCTCTTGGACATAGTCTAGATAATGCCATAATTTTGGCCACACAACCTTCATCATTCCACACACTAAAATCACTTTTGTTCAGCCAATTCCTATCTTGTGAAGATAGGACTATCTTTATGTGCACTAAGATGTGTCTATATCACCAACTTTATATACAAATTTTTGTTCTTAAATGAGTTGGATTCCACACTAGTTCTCAAACCTCTCTCCCTCCCCTATCTTTCTGCCATAGCAAAAATACATACCACAGTTCGTGTGGCACATAAGCAAGGTAGCACTGACGAAGTGTTGTGGATCTATAGTGATCCGAAAATCAATATGTGGGTCTCAGAATTGTAACGAGTTTGTGGATCTAAATGACACACCATTATGAGTTTAAGGGCTCTCAATGTATTTGACTCTTAGTAAAATATTGTTGTGTAGTCCTAGCTACATGAATATGGGATTTGAAATGACATTAGGCTTTGAGATACAATTTGGTTACAATAAACTTGACGGACACTATAATGGTTCATAATTGCTTTTTGGGGGGTGCCTCCCCCTCTTGCATACTTCGTTGGTACACACCCATGTTCGCTTCCATCGTTACCTGGAACCCCTAACGTTGTCTTCCAAGTTAATGAAATATTATAGATCTTATGTTCATCTTTTGTATCAATATATTACTTGCAAATGGTATTGTGCCTACTTTTTGAAGTAATCTGAGATGTCCTATATCAATAATACTTCCTTCGTTTCAAATTATAAGGTATTTTAACTTTTTTAGATGCATCATTTTTATTATATATCTAGACATACTATATATCTAAATGCATAATAATAAAAATCATATATTTAGAAAAGTCAAAACGTCTTATAATTTATAATAAAGGCAGTGAAAGCATCTAGGCCCCTAGTTGGGTTTCGGTGATTAATGTCGACCTGAGATTACTGTGACTAACGTGTGTTTTGTAGAGGCAACTTGAGTTAGGTCATGGTAATGATGATTGTATAGGCAATTATGGTTGTCATGCCCCTATCGATGGAAATCGTTTTGGTTTTCAAAGGATAGACGACAAGGTTAAGGATGGACTAGTTCTAAGTGTCTTTTGATGTTGGAAAGATACTTAGAGTAGTTTAAGACTTTTTTTTTCTTTTAGCCGTACTATTAAGGGGGCTATGAACTAGTAGCTTGACCTAGGTTAGTCTAATGGGTTAGGTGTGGTGCACACTTATCAAACTTAGCACTAGGTAGCTCAGGAATAGCCCAAAAATGAATTGGAGTCAACCTCATTCACAAAGGATTCTGAATTGGAAGTGAATGGAGGGTCAAATGTTGACCGAACACTGTTTTAGTGATGACCGGACTCATAGGTGCTGTGGTCGGTCAGTGATCAGCGTGCACAACAGAAGCCGAGGAGCGACCGAACGCTGCACAGTGATTAGAACCAGATGCACCTCTAGTCGTATCTGTAGCAATAAGGTCTTGCTATCAGGGAGGACCGGACACTGAACAGTACACGACCGGACGTTGAGTTTACAGCGTCAGGTCAACATCAGAGAGGGTCCAAAGACCAAAATTCCTGACTAGACGCGTCCGGTGGATTTTGAACGGACGTTGGCCAGCGTCAGGTCACTCCATGCAGCTTTCTCTAATAGGCTGACGCCACGTAGCCTTGGCTATTGACCGGACACGTCCGGTCACCTCGAAAACTGCTAAGTTGGACAATAACAGTTATGTTTTAAAGTGGGGAGTATATATACTTCTCCTATTCGTCCAACTTAGTTCTCTTGCCCATTTGTTCAGCTGAGAAACACCTTTGGAGTGCAAGGGAGAACAAGAGCCTAGTAGGGTGATTGAGATTTGATAATCCAAGATTAAGGACCTCATTAGTGCATAGGGAGTAGCAAGTGTGCATCCACCTTTCTCATTAGGCTTGTCTTGATCAAGTGAGAGTTTATGCTTGTTACTCTTGGTGATCGCTATGATCTAGATGGCTTGGTGGTGATAGGAAACTTGGTGATCATCTGGCGGAGCATGTGGATGACCCAAGTCATGCTGTGAGCGGTTGTGGGTGATTCACCATGATGGAGTATCAAAGAATCAGCCCGTAGAGAGCACTTGATCCTTGCACGGATCAAGGGGAAGCTACACCCTTACGTAGGTGCTCCAACGAGGACTAGTGGAGAGCGGTGACTCTCTGATACCTTAAAAAAACATCTCCGCGTTCCTGTTCTTCTATTTACTTTGAGCATTTATATTTGAGCAATTCAATTCATGCCTTTATATTCTTAGAATTGCCATGCTAGAGTAGGATTGAAACCTAGGGTGCAAAACTTTTGTGTGGTAGAACAGTAGAAACAGTTCTAGGCACAAAGGGGGTGAAATGGGCTAAGTGTAGGGCTTAATTATTGAAAGAAATTTAGAATTAGCCTGATTCACCCACCTCTTGGGCATCTTGATCCTTTCAATTGGTATCGGAGCCTCGTGCTCCTTAAATTAGTCTTAACCGCCTAGAGCAAGATGTCCCACGGAGATGGACCCCCTCCCGTATTTGAGGGAGATGATTTTCCTTATTGGAAAATTAGCATGGAGGCGTACCTTGAGGCTTTAGATGTTGTAGTGCTTAGAGCCGTCTCATAAGGTTTCTCAACGCATAGGGATCCCGCTAACCTTCAAGGAGATGAGGTTCACTATGAGAAGTGGAATGCAAAGGCTAGAAACACTCTTTTTAGAGGTCTTTGCAAGGATGTCTTTAACCGTGTGCAAAACCACAAAGACGTCCATTCACTATGATCGGACATTTGTGCGCTCCATGAGGAAACCAAGAGTGAGCGTGAGGAATGCTATCACCTTGTAATGAAGAAGCTTAATTCTTTTGAAATGCTTTCTAGTGAAAATGCTAATGAAATGTCTTTACGCTTGAATGTTCTTATAGAGGGGGTCAATGAGCTTGGACTGACTCAAATGCAACCATCCAATGTTGTGAGAAAGATCTTGAGTGTCCTCCCCATC